TCTATCTGCAGTTTGTGTTTATATAGCATGCAGAAAGCAGTCTTGAAAAAAAAGTATAAAGTTATGTTTGTTCAATTTTAGTAATGAAAAAAATCCACCCTTGGATACTGATGCAGTTGTCTCTTATTAATCTGTATTATTTTTCCAAGCTTTTTTCAGGAGTTATGTGACTTCCCTTTAACCCGCCTCATCTAATCATATTGTACTTTGATTTAGCATTTTTTCCCCAGAGTGACTGTTCAACGATCTCCTGAAAAGGGGACTGAGCTTGTCTCATTTAATTAAGGTTTATATATTCACCTTTTGTCATGTGGCACAGCTATGAAAAGTACTTCTTTCATTGCTCTGTATTCACATCTTTTTCCCCCGCACAGTTATTGAACATTATACAAAGATACCCTTGCACTTTGAATCTTGGATAACATCATTGATACAGTTTGACAAGAAACTAGTATGGCTACTTTGCAAATGTAGACTTTTAATACAAAATATAAATCAACTAATAAACTATAGGATTAATGACCAAGTAATAAATATCTTTTAAATATATAAAGTAGTTTATTCGCTCCATTTTTACCAGCTGCAACATTAAAATGATTAACACATTAACGCATCAATAATTGTTATCCAATGATATCGGCCTACCATAAATACATCATTTGAATTCTGCATAATGAGTATAGGAAATAGAAGCGGAGATGTAGCTGTTGACTTGGGCGTTTCTCAGACTTTGCCGACCTCTGTAAAGTCTAAAGGTTGGATTTATTGCACAGTTGTTGTGTTTGAGTGCACTGGATGTGGATATACTTTATAAATTGAATATAGGCTCCGATAAAGCTAGAAAGGGCTCTCACTTTAAATGCTGTCCTGGTATGTAAAGGAGGACTTGCAAAAATACAAGTTCCATGTTTATATTCTTCAACAGACGAGGCACTCGTAATGCACCACTACTCCCCATGCACAGTCATTTGTGTCTACGCAGTGACCAAGTCTCTAAATTGTATGTGGATGCTATGTAGGAACGTTATGGCAGCAAGCCAAAACACAAAATGTTTCTTTGCTTGTGTTGTCAATCTTTCCACATTTATTTAAGGCCTTTTCAACATCTCTAGCCTCAACACAGTTGAATTGAAACCTACAATTCTTGCTATCTGTTATTTCCTTATCGGTTCACAATGGGTAGACTCGGTACCAACTAGGCTCTACCTCAGGTTGCTGACCTTATTGCTGTATTGAAATGGTTTGAAAATGTATTGAAAAGCAACACATGCAGTTGCACTTCCAGTTTTTCACGTTGTGAAAAGGAACACAAAAAGCAATCTCTCACCAACTTCAGGAAAGTGCAACGCAACCCAAACAAACTTTTGTTCATTGTGTTAATACAGGAGCTTTGGTTTGTCAGTCAATAATGAAAGCATCTTGATAACGATTCCAAATCCCTCCTTAATGCAGAGCAACAGTTTTGTGTTGAAGACAAAGGGATCTGTTGCAGCATTGAGCCTTTTGTCGCCTTTATGTCTGCTTTCAAGTGCAAAGATTCTTCATTTATCTCCACTGAAGCAAGAATAAGCCGTACACCCTTTACTCCGCCTCCTTTGTCATCCTCCATTCATCTTCCCATCCCTATTCCTGTCTGATAGGGAAAGAAATGAACACTGGGGCAGTCAAGTGGAAAAACAGACCTTGGATGTGCCCGTAAACCTAGACGCTAATAATCTGCTGGGATTCAACAATGTGAAACACACCGAAAGACTTCCTTCCTCTCGCTTTCCTATTTGTCTCATTTCCACAAGACTTCCACTCTGTCTTCCTTTGTCTGTCTGTCTCTCTCTCTCTGCTTTTCTCCCATCACACACACACGCATTGGGCCTCTGACGTCCTATCAGAGAAGCTTGCCTGTGCAGGCTTTGAGCTTTGGCCATTGTGCGGCAGACTTTCTTCAGAGGTAGAGACAATGGGTACTGACTGGAACAGAGATCCAAGCAAAGCAAATTGACACCTCAATGGGACGCGTCAGACTGGCTGGCTAGTTGGAATACAGTGGGTACGGAAAGTATTCAGACCCCTTTAAATTGTTCACTCTTTGTTTCATTGCAGCCATTTGCTAAAATCAAAAAGTTCATTTTATTTCTCATTAATGTACACTCAGCACCCCATCTTGACAGAAAAAAACAGAAATGTAGAATTTTTTGCAAATTTATTAAAAAAGAAAAACTGAAATATCACATGGTCATAAGTATTCAGACCCTTTGCTCAGTATTGAGTAGAAGCACCCTTTTGAGCTAGTACAGCCATGAGTCTTCTTGGGAATGATGCAACAACCTTTTCACACCTGGATTTGGGGATCCTCTGCCATTCTTCCTTGCAGATCCTCTCCAGTTCCGTCAGGTTGGATGGTGAACGTTGGTGGACAGCCATTTTCAGGTCTCTCCAGAGATGCTCAATTGGGTTTAGGTCAGGGCTCTGGCTGGGCCAGTCAAGAATGGTCAGAGTTGTTCCGAAGCCACTCCTTTGTTATTTTAGCTGTGTGCTTAGGGTCATTGTCTTGTTGGAAGGTGAACCTTCGGCCCAGTCTGAGGTCCAGAGCACTCTGGAAGAGGTTCTTTTCTTTGTGGAACTTTCTCCCATCTCCCTACTGCATCTCTGGAGCTCAGCCACAGTGATCTTTGGGTTCTTCTTTACCTCTCTCACCAAGGCTCTTCTTCCACGATTGCTCAGTTTGGCTGGACGGCCAGGTCTAGGAAGAGTTCTGGTCGTCCCAAACTTCTTCCATTTAAGGATTATGGAGGCCACTGTGCTCTTAGGAACCTTGAGTGCTGCAGAAATTCTTTTGTAACCTTGGCCAGATCTGTGCCTTGCCACAATTCTGTCTCTGAGCTCCTTGGGCAGTTCCTTCGACCTCATGATTCTCATTTGCTCTGACATGCACTGTGAGCTGTAAGGTCTTATATAGACAGGTGTGTGCCTTTCCTAATCAAGTCCAAGCAGTTTAATTAAACACAGTTTAATTAATTCAGTCAATTAATTAATTAATTAATTGACGTCCCTGTCCAAACTGTAACCGAATACTAATTCTAATTTGAATCCTATCCAAGTATGGACCGACTAAAATCAACTCCTTTTGCAAAAAGCCATTAACTTTAATGTGATAGTGACACTCAGACAGGTAGTGACAAACACCTTTGCTTATATACGTTAATACTGAGACAATACTTTAGAGTCTAATAGTGCACACAGTTCACGGTTCAATACATACTGGTACAACTAACTAAACACTTCAACCACTACCCTCCATGAGTATGACTGACGATACAAGAAGACAACCCCATTGTTTTCTGAAGACTAGTAATTTCTTTCATCACTAATGTTGATACTTGCATCCAGTTTATCTTTGGTTCCGCATCTTCAATTAAATCTCAACAGAGTATGTGCTGTGGTTGCATCATTAGTCCCTGCAAATAAACATAAAGAGGTTTAAGAGCTCTAAGGTAGTAAAATAGGGGGAGAAAAAAAAAAGGTGAAATACGAAAGGTTTTGGATTTGTAGTGGATCATAGAGATAGAGGGGCTTCATTTCCCTGTGATTTATCCGCACACATTATTAGCATTTGGTCTGAAAAGACTTTGGTTGTTGAAAAGTAAAACAAAAATGAATTCCATATGATGGAGTATCTGTACACTCATACAGCAGGTCTGGAAATAAATGATCTGAAATCACTTGTTCGTGCCAACGGAAATTGTTGGTACGAAAGATTTTCTCTTTTTTTCTTTTCATGTGGCCCATTTCCCCTCACACACTGAACAATAATGGTTGCTCCCCTCAGCAACACTCCTTTCTTCCTACACTTTTGCTTCGTTGGCGTCTGCCCTCAGACCGGCTCGTATTACTTAACACCCGCACTCTTGAGAATTGGCAACCAATCAAAAAATGACAAATGACAACCTGTGAGCGCGGCGTTACTGACTCCCGCTGAATGAACGTGACTCTCCATATGAATAGAAATCTGTATACATTATGTTTCACGCTATCCCTTTTTTCCGTAACAAAGCAGAGGTTATGAGATCTCTTTGACTGACTTTGTCTGCATTTTTTTTTTTTGAAGCAGTATTAATGCTGGATAGATGCATAACGAAAATGGTTGTATACCTACAGGTTTAACAGTGGGAGTCTCCATTTAGAGGTTGGGCAGTGGATGGGGGTTGAAATAATATTTTTCTCTGTCTATATGTGAGTGTTCCTGTAAGATTAGATTGACCTCTTTGCCCACTCAGTGAAAAGGCAGCACCTCTACTACACCTACGCACTACAGGGGAGAAATCTCTATGACTCACAATACCAAAGCACGCACGCATGCACTCTTAAACTGACGTGCACGCACACACAAATGACATATTCAAATATGTGAGAAAACCATGTGTGTTTCCATCAAACACACTCTCACACACACAAAAGAATCTTGTTGCACTGCTGAATACAAGACGTATCCTTGGAGGAAAAAGTACTGGCCACTCTAGATCTTCAGTGTACATTAAAGCAAAAGATGGGAAGAAGCCAGGAAGTGGATGCTGTTTTGGCAACAACAAAGTCCAGGTTTGCATATATTGGGGACAGTTATTACACTCAAAATATAAAAGGGCCATATTTCAAGCCAGGTTCATAAGTCATTAGAAGTTTATCTCTTGGGATAGTGTGGGAGGTTACTCTTTCTATAACCTAATATTCAAGCAAGAGGTTTTTCAAAAAAGGTTATGACTTTTTTATTGAAGATTTTCCAAATCCCTTTTCTCTCCTCACTGTTTCCAACTTCCCTGTTGGATGTTGCCTACTGCACAATACTATTCTTCACCATTCATAACTCAACTTGCCGTTTCCTGACTGGATTGTTCTTCATTTCTTTAATTCAGAAATTTTCACTGAGGGTGCACTTATTTTCAGTTGAAATGAACAATGTTAATCTGATATGTCTGTCTCTCTTTCCCTTTTCTTGCTCTCCTCCACAGAGTTATATTCACGGCAGCAGTCAGGCTCAGTTTGTGGCTGAGTCTCACATCATCCTTCTTCTGAGTATCCTTTCCCCCAACGCGTTTGTGTTTGAATGTTTCACGTGTTGACATAAATTGAAACACGGTGCGGCAAAATACTAATCATCCAGAGCAGTTTAACTATCTGTGAAATGTCCAACAGCTCATCGCGGCACCAAGTTCCTTTAATTCTCCATCTGCTAACTCACACGACATTGGAAGCCACCTTATATGTGTATATGTGTCTGAGCACACGATTGTCATCTGTGTGCGTTCTCCATAGGGAGGCTGCCTGCTGCACTGAACAAACAGGCAATACAAAGACCAGGGATTGTCCTCTTTTAACTTGTGTGTGTCTGTGTTTGTGTGCTTTTGGCAGGGTAAATATTTCTGTTCTCTGTTTGTCTTCTTCTCTGTCTGCTTGTATACCTGTGTGTTCTTGCACTGGTGCTTCTGTATCTGTGTGGGTAATGATACCGTTCATTCCTAGCTGTTGTGTTTGCTCCCGTGGGAAATAGCAGGTCCAAGGTCGCACCTGCTGCAGAGCAATATTTGTTTTGTCCACGCTAACACAATTTATTTTTTTTATTTTTTTTTTGGGCTCATCTGATTACATCTAAATGAAACACACATTCACACCTGCTGTAACGCTAACACGCCTACGCTTGTTGTCTGTGCAGGTTGTTTAAACACATTTTATGACTGTTTCCCCGTGGATGTAACCTTGTAAAATTCCTCATACAGAGACACACACACACACACACACACACACACAGGTACTACGTGAAGTTGCATATCTATACCATTTTAGGATGAAATAGAAACAGATGATTGTATTTCTCTCATTCTGACTGTTGCTACCATATGATCTCCCCACAATAGTCAGATGGGACAGGATCAATGAAGTGTGTCAACCGAACACAAAGCATTGCCGTTCAGGCTGAACTGTCTGCCATGGTCAAACCCCATGCCACTGATTAGGTGAAGACACACAGGTGGGGATTCTCTCTTAGGAAAATGTCTCTATCCTCTCAGCCTCTTAGCGCACGTGTGAAGTATCTTCACAATGGAAGCTGCTCTCTGTAACTTGCAGGTCTTCAAATATTCCGTGTCAACAAACTAGATTTTATTACTTGCAAATCATTTTTTTGCTTCGTGCCAATTTGGTATTCCGATGATATCTCTGACTCGGAGCCGTTTCAATGAAGTAAAGTGGAAGCACCTGGTTGGGATTGCGTTAACAAGGAAAACTAGTATCAAAGCTTTTGGATCTTTTTGTTTTGGTCATGTGCACATAAGCCAGTCCTGTCCCAAAATTGTACCAATCTCAAATATTCCAGTTTGACTTTAATCAGCCTCACAGGATAAAGGATATTTTATTCTAATGATATGCATGTGGATGTAGTGTGACTAGGGTGCACCACGACAGATACAATAAATGCAGATGACAGAACAAAAAATGCAGTGCAGTTGCATGATCTTACTCTATACACTGCTAATTATCCATTTGTTATTATAACTTCACACTGTGGCAAAGCTTCCTGCAAGCACCCAGGCTGCCGTACACATCGCTGTCTGTGGAGATATCTCTTGTTTGTGTCATATCATGTCTTTCGCATACAAGCCGACGCCTGATTTTCGCTTCCCATGTGGCAGCTTTTGTGTGCGCACCCCTTCAGGATTTCTTCAGTCATAATGATTGGTATGCAGCCCACACGCTGAAGAGAGGAATCTGTAATTATAAGCCACCTGAGGCGGTGCTTTGCAGTGATTGTAGAAAACGCGTTGAAGTGTTGAATGCAGCACTGCTTGCTTCTGTAAAAAAAAAAAAAAGATATGTTCACAAAAAAAATGCCACACTTTCAACAGGTCAAAAACTTAACCAATAGCTAAATACTACAAGTGCATCGTGCGATGATCGTACTACGCACACAGTGTCCCAATGGGCTTTACAGTGTAGCCCCACCTAGTCCAAGCTCAACATAAAGAAAATAGAAGAAAACCTTGCAGAGGGAATATGTTCTCCACCTCTCCACGGTCAGCTTTATCTGCAACAGTCACTGCAGATGGGGAAGTTTTCCTCTCTACAAACTGTAGTGCTCACAATTTACACTACATCAGAGCATCAGGGCCATGTTTGCAGAGTTGACTTGACATCACCACACTGTGTGGGTTTAAAAAAAAAAAGAAAAAATAATTGAATTGAATTGGGAAACCATTCTGATGTTTTTCTTCCAATGGTTAGGTTGTACCGCTGCCGATTCAATTCAGTGATAATAAAAGAGTATTTTTAGTTTTGTGTTGCCAGATGTTGCCTTGTGATCTTGTGCCCTCTCACAAAACGCTTTGTGATTCATTCAACAAAACACATTTTCTCCTTTTTATAAAGCTGTGTTGGGAATAACAGGGAAAGGGCCAGTGACCTATGAACCAAGTCTCTCCTGATTACACTGTAGTTGTCAATCACAGCATACAATGTAATGCAGTACACCATCAACTATGGCCCTCAACATTTGCAGTTTAATGAACTCCTCTCTGACGATGTCTCAACCAAACATGGTGCTTGTGAGCTTCAATTGAAAAGTGTTTATTGTAAGCCTATTGTCTGGACTCCTTTGATTCATGTTATTCCAAACCGTTTATATGAACTCGGTGCCGTCATGCAGTGACTGATGTTCTGGCTAATCTGTTTCAGTGCGCCCATGCACATACTGTATGTGCATATGTGTCCAGCACTTCTTCCTGGGTCAGTGTGTACTTCCTTCTTCTCCCACTCCCATATGCTAGTGTGTTGTTTCCTTGACGACCTTGTGTCCCAGATGCTGCAATCACCATGGGGATGGTGCTGCTAAATGAGGCTGCCACCTCCAAGGGAGATGTTGGCAAGAGGAGAAGTGAGTAGTACTTTTTGTTTCCCGTTTCAAGCTTAAGTTCTGAGTGAAGCAATTCTCAGCAATGTTACTGTGTGTGTGTGTGTCATTGATTGTTAGTGCCACCTTGTAACTAACACCCAAAGTGTATTCATCAAAATCCATGTTTCAAGAGGTAGCACTGGTGTTTGAGAGGTTAACATTCTTGTATAAGAAACACACATCCTTTAAAACATGAATTCTTATTTTCTATCTTGTTATTATAACTGAGAAAAACTCGGGCCGTCGATCGATGGACAAACATGAACTAACTAACCGCTTTTGTTCTCCTTAAGACTGAAGCGTGTAATAGGCAATTAAATGTAAAATCATGGAATTAATGTAGAATCAACTCAAAAGAAATATATTTAAATTCAAATACTATTTTTTGATAGCATCATTTTAACTTAGAACACAGATTCCAGCCAGCTTGAAAGGCTTTTTTCTTATATGCACTAACAAACTATAATAATACAAACCAAGCCTATTGAAGGCCATTAAAAATAGATATCAGATAAGAATGCAACATTTCTTAAAAGCACTGATACAAATAATAATTAACAAGAAAAAAGTGTTGCACCTGCCTGTTGTATTTCGAAATAGGCCACAATATTCCATGCAAATATGAAAAGAAAACAAGGAAATATTTCTGCACCGTGCGTGCAACTCAAACAGCTGTGCACGCAAACTACTTTTGCGAGCGCTTTCAACATCACTCGGGGCAGAATTTCTCTGCTCGCGCAAGTAAAATTGAAGCCTGCGAGGAGAAAACCATGCTTTGAGAGCGAGGAGCATCTCCTGGCGCATGACTCATCTCTGCTTGCGGATATTGACAGTGATTTGCCTTCGTATTCATCATTGACGTGTGCCATAACGCCCAAGAAGTTACAATTACTCACAGAAGTCCGATGATCCCCCTGTGAGGGCGACGTCCTTTTCCAGCTCAACCATGTTCGTCCACCTCGCCCTCCCATCTTCATACAAAGTGTCTATTCTTGACACAATGGTTTTTCTCGAGGTCGGAATAGAAGCAGTGCCTACCAATGCAATTCGAATAATTCCTCTCAGTCCATCTTTTACTGTGTTTAGCTTTCCACGTCAGCCCAAAGCATTAGTTAACGGACCTTCTCACTTACAGTTTTTAATATTTTCCCATAAATACCAGGTGACAATGAAACTCTCCCGCCTAAGACTCTATTGTTGTCCTTATCCATCTTCAGCCGGGTTGGGTTGGGTTGGTGACACACGATGTCAGCTGTTACAGGAAGTAAACAAAACACAGCTGTTAAATAGGTTCATTTTCAACATGTTAAACCTTCAAGTTCATTTTGACATGATGAAAAGTTAAACATTTGAATGAGTTACACATAGACATTCACCAACAGATATTGTTCAGCTATAAATGTGTTAACCTAGTACAATTTCCTGTAGTCAAAGGCAAACCACAAGTCCAGATATTAACAAGAAATTCTCCTGGCTGCTGTTTACAGTTTGGCCTCCTTGATCTCCTGGAAAAGACCATCATCTGACTGTAACATTAATAACCTCAGAGAAATTCTTTTTCCTCTCCGTATCTGTTAGACTTACCGTGAGTGCTGAGAGGATTTCTCTTCTTTGAGATATGAGTAACAGTGAATAAGCAGAATGCAAAAATGCAAAGTATACGCTGAAATATATGTTTAACGGTGCTCTGTGTAGATAAATAAAATGTATGTTTACATTTAATATTACTCATCAAAACTCATCGTGTGTGTCCTTGAGGCCAAAGTAACCTGATGAATGCATCTTTTCCAATAAAACTTAAGACAATTTTTCTTTAAACCTGCGGAATAGTGTGAGCATGCACAAGACAACACAGCAAGAACCGACTCGTAGAAAAACTGCTCCACAATACTACTTAGAGATCAAAAACTCCCCAAGTTAGTTCCAGAGATACAGCATCAGGAACGCTCTTGCTTCATACCAGCCATGACACCGTGCTTTCACATTGTGAGTCTGCATGTGAGGTGCCACAGGTGCAGACATATAAACAGGTGTTTATATGTCTGTCTGTCTGGGGACAGCTTTTGTCTTAAGATTGAGATGGGACGCTCCTGCACACGTGTTCTCACCCACACTATGTGTAAATGAACCATCATGGCAGTACCTTCATTAGTAGGAAGTGTATTTGCATAACTGTCAATTAGCTGGAGCAGCTCTAAGAATGAGAAGCACTTGTTTCACTTTCCAGTTAATCAGTGAGATGACTCCTCATCTGCCCCATGAGTACCTCTGAATGCACAACTACACTATTTAGTTTTCAGCATTTAGATGTGCTTTGTGAATGCTTGATGGTTGATATACGAAGTAGATTTATGTGGCACAGTCAAAATTAACCTGATATGCTCTGTCAGGAAAATGATTTAGATTGCTTGTAATTAGTCAAGAAAATCTTGAGATAATTAAAATGTTCCCGCACGCTCCCAACGGCCTCTCATGTTGTTCTGATGATCAAAATTGTTCTTATTCTACAAAAATACCACATCAAATAATTTCATGGGTGCAAATCAAACCCATTTTGTACTCACAATCTGCATGAGATTAACATCCGATTTACTTTAGCAAGAAGTCCATAACTAGTCACAGTGTGGAGGTCACAAAGCTCAGAAACTCTGAAATCGAAGTGAGTCAAATTGAAGTCATACCTCACATTTAAATAGTGTTCTTCTTATTAAAGGAAAGAGATTCTAAAACATTTACCAAGGCTGCGCTTCAGCTCAACCATGAAAAAGTGATTTGTGTGACTGTTACGACACATTACTCTGGAATGACAAATAAATCATGCTCAGAAATAAGAAAAAATACTAATCATCTCAACAGGTGGAGGACCACCAGAGTAGAGGCAGCAGATCAGCTCTTCTGAGTCCACATACCAGAGCAGGTGGAAGATATGTATACAGTATATGATCAATGTGGCTGATACATCCCTGGATTACCACATTACCTGCAGTCAAATGCAGTTTTGTAAAGGTCTCGTTAAACGCGTTAAAATCCCACTTGTGGTCATGCACAATTAAGACCAGATATTTCTGAAACTGTGTTAATCAAGGATAATGTTTGTACCCATTTTTGTGGTTATGCAGGTGGGAGTGTAGGGTGGGTCAAACAAACACGGGACTTTCACTAAGGAGACTGCTGTTCATATGAAACAACGTTGACCTATTTTGTGTGACAAACATACTTATTTGAACCCAAACCGTGATCTTTTCCTAAACCTAACCAAGTAGTTTTGTTGCGTTAAGTAAATCTAAAAACTAAGTAAACCTGTGATTGAGGTTTATTTTGAAAAGACTATGCGTGTTACAACTACGCAGAAACGGACCAAACTGACACGCCGTCCCTCACGCGTTCAGGATTGATGCTATAAGTGTACATTAAGTGCCATGGCTTTAAAATACTTCATGTGGGACCGTCGACATGTGCTGTCATTTACAGACAACCATGAGTGTTGAGCATGCAACCCAGTTCATTTTTAGAAATAGGCGGTGGCCACTTAACCACACTAATGGCATTCTTGCCTTCAACCGTTTTCCTTTGCTGCCCAAGCATAGATTCTGCATAATCTCTAGACTAGATTATGAAGAGGGGAGTTAGATATTAGATGGCCCGTAATGATAATTACCTCAAACACAGAGACACTGTTACACACAAGTGGATTTTAATTAGACTGGGTGTGATGAAAAAAGAAACTCCAGAAGCCTTTCAATGCTTCTGTGAGGCCACAAACTTATGCGCGCACACAAAAAAAATCTGAAGGCAAGATTAATAACTTTTTGTTCTACTTTACCCATGAGTTCTCCTTGAAATGTTAAAGCTTGGCAATTAAAATGATAATGACTTTATAACTACCTCAAGACTTGTTTCTCAGTATCGGGGCCAAAAAAAAAAAAAAGAACACTTCCATACCTCCACACAGACACGCATGCATACGTGCTCGCCGAATTGTCACCTGTGTTAGGATGACATATCACGTGTACATCGAAGATGACTCGTTTATCAACTCTCTTGTCAGCTCAATCGTTTCCAACAGGTCTCTCTCTCTCCTTTTCCCTTTTCATCCAATTATCCTCCGTCTCCGTCTTCCTCTTGCCCCGTCCTTCCCTTCTCTTTTTATCGGCAGTATTTTTTTTATTGTATCAACTACTTTAATTTAACCTCTTGTGTTTGTGCGATTTCCACCTGCTACTTTAAATAAACTGAAGCGAAGACATCACACAGATCATATTTTACCGCAGCACATGCATACTAATGCCGACAGAAACCGGTTACGTAAAGCACACACGACATCCAGCCACGAGCCTGCATGAAATACACAGTTCTATATCCCACACACTGCTGTCATTGAGTTGACACACACATGGACACACAAATTAAATCAGTGCATTATAAAGCAGCACAGCGAATAGTCGCCTGTCAGTAATAGAGAGAGGATTAGGCTTGAATTGTAGTGTAATCACTGAACGTGGGTGTTGAATCCCTGGCATACAGCTTCCATACTGCTGAGTGCAGCTACAAGAATGCTTCCACGGGCATCTGTCCAAGAAATCACAGCGCACACGTGGCTTCTCAGTTAGGGAGTTACTGAACTAGTAAATGGAGTTACAAAATCACGACATATGCAATATCAGTGGAAGAGAAGGGGGATGTGATAGACGGAAGGAAGGTGAAAGGGAATAGGAGCAAAATATCAAGGAGGGCGAGGACGGAGGGGGAAGGATGGGTCTGTGAAGGAACAAAATACAGTAGAGGCTACTGTAGAGGCTAATGTAGAGGCCTTGTAGAGCAATATCCACCGTATCTGCCTGTTGAAATGCCAACGTGCTGCGTAGCACCAAAGTTAGTACCAAATGTCAAGGCCACGGAAAACAGGGGTGTCAAGAGAGCTGATGCTTTGGTACCAAGTCGATGTCAAAAATCAGAAAATGTGGTGGTACTCGTTTCTATATAGTACCGCTAATGTACGGAGGTTGCATTGAGGTATATTATGAGGCATTCAAGCTCTATTAAGTAAAAGTTTACCATCAATGTTGAATTATTTCTTTATAGAGCGAGCCAAAGGGGAGAAATCCGTTTCCACAGCCTGCACATGTAGATGTGCCTCACTTCAATGTGCAGTATGTGTGATACTAGTATGTTTCTTTGTCTGGTTGGAATATTAAAGAGACATGTTACCAAGAACTTGAGTCCATTAAACATGTATCTACAAGCCCTGGTTCACTTGTAATTGGGTAGTGTGGACATTAATAATCCAAACAAAAGAAGCAGCCGGCTTTTCTGTCGCAGTTTAGCATAAAACGTAATTGTGGGCGGTCGTAACCAGAGGCTGAGTCAGTTAATGTCTCTTGAAGCCAGTTGCTAACCACAGAATGAACCGAAGAACCATTTAGCATCCTAATATCTGTTCATATTTGTCCTCCTAATGAGCTAGGCTTAACTTAATATGTTTATTGGCTCCCCCGTGCTGGAGAAAGGTACATTTATTTCTACCGTGCCAATATATCATCATTTGAATTGAGCCAAGTCATACAGTCAAAAGACGGATTACCACCTTTGTCACTGAGGGAAATCATTGGGCTTAAGCAACTTGTCATTTCGCCAAGGTCATAAATCACTTTCATTAGCATGCTTAGTGTGCGCGTGTGTGTGTCATTATCCACGGAAGCATACTAAGATACCTCTCAGTCATAACTGATGAGCTATGGGAAATACATCCCACTACGCTTAATGAAGACACACAGACGTTCTGTGGCTCACGTCCTCGCAGGCACATATGTAGATGTGGCAACTCAAGGAACGCGGGGGCCATAGGGGCTCTCCCTGGAGACGCACTCTGAAATATGCAGCGCTCTCAATCAAGTCACTCGGTCAATGTCACACACACACACACACACACACACACAGGTTGGTAATACAATAGTTTTCAGGACATTGTCTTGAATAAGTCATCAGTGTAACCTTAATTTAACCCCAGACTCTTTCAAACACAATACAGCCGCTGAGGTTTGCGTGAATGTGCGTGTCTGTGTGTGTGTGTGTGTGTGTCTGTGTGTGTGTGCAATGATACATATGTGGGATTATAAATGTATTTTGTGTATAAAGTGAAAGAAAGAAAGTAGAACAGTCATGTTGGAACTGACACTGAGCAGGGAGAGCAAATGTAGTCTCATACACACATCCAAAACAGATCACAGGACAACACACACACACACACACACACACAGAAGACGTAAACCATTGTAGCCCCAAATATGAATGACGGCCCATACACACAAAGTTAAACTGAGAATCTGTGTTACACTTCCAAGCCAAATCTTTTGTCTGACGTTGCCTTTTTGCTCTCTCTCATCCTTACACACACACACACACACACACACACAGAGCGAGAACCAGCACATATCTCACTATTTAGTCTCCAGGAGAGGTCCTCATCCTAATCCCTGATTAACAATATCAGTCGGCGGTGACAGTTTAATTTAACACAGTCCCTCTCAAGGATTAGCCTCTACATGAGAGTGTGTGCACACACGCACTCATGCACCCACACACACACAGACACTCACAATTCCCCTGCAGATTAAAGATCATATGTTTCACTTTCGAATAGCCACTGAGGAAATAAGATGATACTAGTTGCAAACACAATTTTCTGCAGCACAGCAGGGTTGATGATGAGAAAGAGGCAGTGGCACATACATGTAATGGATTGTTTAAATAAAGTGAATATTTAATAAGGTGTTGTCCTGATGAAGAGTCCCGGGTAATGTTTGAGACGTCCTTTCTATCAGCATTATAGCAAATGTCAAATATAAATGTTTTCATTACTTGGCTGTGTGTATGTAGGCCTGTGTCGGTGCTTACGTGTGTGTGTGCGTGTGTGTGTGTGTGTGTGTGTGTGTGTGTGTGTGTGTGTGTGTGTGTGTGTGTGTGTGTGTGTGTGTGTGTGTGTGTGTGTGTGTGTGTGTGTGTGTGTGTGTGTGTGTGTGTGTGTGTGTGTGTGTGTGTGTGTGTTTGTGTGATCCACCAACATGAAGAGAAGAAGATGCTTTCAGTGTGTATCATGTCTAAACCCTGCGGGCACATTCAATTTGAACAGAGATCAAACAGGGAGTTGCATCACTGGTTATAATGTGCGTGGAACGATTTAAATGGTTGCCTTTAGCAGGAATCAAACCTTCTCACAGGCCATTGTCTAATAATTATCATGCATATATATATAAGAGTGTCTGCAGGATTTGCAAAAAGTTGGAAATTATGGAAACTCAAAAGCATCGAGTGTGATTGTAGTAACTTTTACGTTACAGAACGTTTTATAGACCATGACGCAGTTTCTTAGTGTGTCGTATTTTTTACTTAATGACAATCTGTGTGTGTGTGTGTGTGTGTGTGTGTGTGTGTGTGTGTGTGTGTGT